ATTTCAAGCGTGTGAGAGGTGATGGAAAAAGAAATAAAAATTGAGAAATTATGAAAATGGAGCAAAAAAAACGCCCTCGCCGAAGGTCGAACCTGGGATCTCACGCATGGCAAAGTACTTAAGGCAAGGCAAGTAACCAATGGGGTGGCGATACATTTGTTGTATCAAGCCATCCCCATGTGCATATGTACTAAAAGAAACTCATATCCTGGGCAACTTCATGGCAAGCATCAAGTGAAAAAATGCCAAAACGGTTTCATCCTAACTTCTTCAAATCTTGATCAATTTTAATGAAACAAAAGTCTAACTTGCTTGTTTTTTCATGAGGATTACAATGGTGCCAACCAAATTTTAAAATGATACTTGCAACTGAAAACACTATGTAACATGCATAATGAAATTTTGGAAATGCATTTTGAGACTTTAAGATTAAAACAAATGCAATTAATGGTAGAAGATGGTTTGAGCAAATTCTAAATATGATATTGAATGAGTTCTAACAAGAAATTTATTCAAAACAATATTAGAGCAAAAAAATGGTATGTGAGTTGTAATGATATACATAAGTTGAAAACAAAATGATCAATCAAAGGTGAGTCCAACTGGCAATCCCAAAACCTGGTCTTAATTACTTGTCAATGTAAGTTAATGGTTTCAAACAGAGGGCCAATTCTTGACATAGCCAAATCATCACTCACATAGCCATAACATTACCAACCAATTCAACTATCTTAGGCAGCCACCAAGACCTGAACTCTTCAGGCTGAGACTGTGACTTACAAGAAATGAACCTAAAAACTTTCAAAATCAAAGCACTAAATACATAGAAAAATGGAAGCTAGACACCAAATGCCTGACACTACAATGCCTAGGAAGCCAATGCAACGAACCAACCACTCTAAGTATCTCATCATGGATTAATAAATCCACATTCACATGAATTCTAACAACAACCCTTACATGAGGCACTAAAACAAAAGACAGTCTAGGTTGCCAAAGGTACAGTCAAGAATAGGTTGCTCTTTGACAACTCAAACTGAATCCCAACAACAACCACAACTGTAACAACTTGGTTACAACCCATCCTTAGATGAACATCAGCAACAAATAACCAACTGCCTAGCAGAAACTTAAAATGGCAACAACTATGTATGGGTTGGCCAAACTTAAATTCTAGAAATGAACACAAACCAAACAAAACTAAACCTCAACTCTAACTTAGCCTAAAACTCAAAAGCCTAATCTTCAAAGCTTTAAAAGGAACCTGCTTAACATTAAGCAGAAGCCAAATTAAGGATGAAGCACCCCGACTAAAGAGTCCACAATATCAGTTCACAAACTAGCAGCACCTCCTTTGAACAAAGGAAAAACAAATGACAGTCCAATGATACAAACTTCAACTGATCCAGAACTATGAACAAGGACAAGTCTTTGCTAAAGGGAAACATCTACCATCATAAAGTTCAAATTTGAAGCAACCAAACTAAACTTCCTCATGTTGACAGCTTCTTAAGCTAAAATAGTTTGGATGCTAAGGAACACAAACTTGACATAACAATGCCAACAATAACCCAAATATTTCAATAGTACATATCAACACCTACAAAAACAACAACCTACACACATATTGCCCTCAGTTGCAATCTAGCAGCCCTTAATACACCTCAACAAGAATCAACCATTCTAGCACCAAGAACTCTAGCACAACATGTCAACAAACTTGTAAGATTAACAAGACCACAAATGACAATACCAAATCAATGTTTGAAAGTTAACAAACTTCACCTTGGTAACCACTGGTTTAAATCATCAATAGTTATGAGCTTACCAGTACAACATTCAAGACAATTTTGACAGCATAGCCACAATTCAACATAACAATGTCTAAACTATCAAACAACTCAAAAAAAACATAAACATGATGCATAATGAGGAGGTATAGGGCTACATACCTCTTGTAGACCTCCTTGAGCAAACTAGCAGCAAGAGGAAAGTATACCCTTCCTCTTTTGAGCAAGCTTTAAGTTTTCTTCCTTTTGAAGCAACAAGTAGTTTTTTGGGACAAATCTAGCAAAAGAGGTTCCAATTGCTTCTTAAGGTTTTAGGCAGTTAAAATAACATAAAGGGAAGGTGTTCAAGGTGTCACAATGATGAAGAATGGTTTGTGTGGTAATTTGGCTTGAAATGTGCATAAAAGTCAAACTATGGTGTGTGGACAATTGACTTTTTGATCTATGGTTTTTTTGATGAAAGTGATGATGGGAACAACTTCAAATGGACATTTTAAGGGTGTGTATATGGTCTTTGAAGTGTTTTTGTGTTTGGAACAAGGACTGGAGTGAAAAATGCAAAGAGGTAAATTTTGGTGGTTTTGTGACTTTTCTTCACTTACAGGTAAAGAGGGGAAGAAGGAGAGATATGTGTTTATGATGTTTTGGATAGCTCTGGTGTGAAAAATGAGAGTGGAATGAACCATCTATTTATAGGCCAGGAGAAGGGTTTGGGGCAGATTTGGATTTTGGTTTTTGGAGGGAGATTTTGGAAGAAAATCTGTCCAAGATATGTGGTAGTTGTGTATATCAAATCCTTGGCTCAATGCAAGGTATAAATCAAGTGGCATGGAGGACATGAAGGTGACTGAAGTGAGGCTAGAGTGTAGGGAGTTGCAGCTGCAGATTTCCATAAAAAAGTTTCTCTTTCTTATTGTTTTTTGATTAAAATAATGCCACTAGGTTGACCAACTTGCAATACCAACCAAATCCTTCTTTCTTCTGCATTTTAAACCATCAACCTCTCTACTTATTAGATCAATACATGATTCAATGGTTGAGAATGATTCAAGTGGCTGAAAAGTGAATTTGTGAAAAAGTTGAAATGGTGCATTCAAGTGTAGATACTCCAACTTGTTGGATTCATAACTCTCATCTCACAAGGGCTATGGAGGAGTTCTAGTACTTTTTGGAAAGCCCTCATGGATCTCTACAACTTTCATGTTTTCATGATCTTCAGATTCCAAGTGGAACTAGGTCAAAAAACTTCTCAAAGTTGGCTGAAAACATGATTTGAAAGGCCGGAAACTTAGAAATTTTCTAAGTGTTTTCTCCCTCTTGTGATGATTTTGGCTATAACTCCAAATGTATGCATTTTTTCCCATGAGTCAGTTTTACACTTTTGTAGGGCTTGCCAAGGCCTTTCTAACAAGCTTTGAACCAACTCATTTGGATGTGTGGTTAGGAAGTTATGGTCTTGGCCATTTCAAAACCCTAATTCTCGACTTTTTTGATTACTCCTCAATCCTTGATCTAATGGTCATGAAACTTCATGGATAGGTGTAATATGTTATTAGGAACATTTTTGCTTCACACTTTAAGGTCAAATTCCTTATGGTTGAAGAGTTGACTTTTTGGTCAACGAAACGATCGATCGATGACTACCGAGTCGGCTGTTGATGTTCTGGGTCTTTTGAGACCTTAAAACTTCTTGACTGGACTTCACTAAGCCATATGAGCTTCATGGACCATAATTCCATCATTGGAATACCCTTTAAATCAAAAGTCAAACTACAGTTGACTTTTCCTGATCGGAAACCCTAATCAGGGGTCCTGAACTACAATGTCTTTAATCTTTGGATGACAACCTCAAATTGGGTTCATGCTTGACCCAATAGAGTATCTTTGATGATGTGGAGACTTGTTTCATGGAGACTCAATCTAATACATTGACTGATTAAACCATCGAAACCTCGATTCTGGACTGTACGGAACCCTAATTCACCCGTATCTTAACAAAGACAAACTTGAAATAGGTTATGGTTAGATAATCAAATGAAAATGATCCTAGAATGATGATGTAGATCTAAGGGGTCAAAATTTGGGGTGCAACACAGATGCATGAAGGTGACTGGATAACATTCCATTGGACAAGTGGGCAAGGGCATTTAACGGTGGATGTCGTTGGGGCCACATGACAACAAACCTTGTGGAATCCATGAACATCGTCTTCAAAGGAATTAGAAACCTTCAAATAACCGCATTGGTGAGATCAACCTATTATAGGTTGACATCACTTTTCACAACAAGAAAAAAAGATGGAATGTAGTGTTAATGTCAGGTCAATTATTTAGTGAATGCATAATGAAAGTGATGAAAGAGGAAACTATCAAAGGTAGAACACATGTAGTTACAGTTTTTGACCGTCATAGGATGTCTCAGTCTAACCAACCATTCAACTCCCTCTGTAGTTGCTTGAAACTTTGGATGTTCTAGAAGATCATCTCCATCGGAGGCTTCTCTCTCGAATAAATCACTTTCCCGTAGCAGCGACGATACATGTTATTATTAATACAAGAATATGCAAAAAGATGTGAAAATAATTGATCACGCCACCTCTATTTATAGTAAAATTATACATTGCACCCTATTTCCAAATGAATTGACGATAACATTAAAAAATTAACACACTGTCGCCAATTGAATTGACAATACCATATGATGTCTCCAATTGACGACACCTCTTTATCCTATAAAGAATTCGCCAATTCATATGATGTCTGCATTCTATCAATATCCGAAAATAGGATCATTTAAAAAATAAATTGAAAAACGGATTATTTTGAGATTTAAAAAAAAGAAGGATGTTTGAGTAAAAATTCCACTTTTGTTTGTATGTTCAAATAAAATATATATTTGGAGTGGAAATAAAACCGACCGCATCGGAAAATAGTAAAGGTAAAGGAACCAAAAAAGACAACAGATTCCATCACTCAACCATAGTGGCAAAAATGTAAATTACTAAAAAAAGCGTGTCTTTTTAGATATAATGAAACAAAAAGGTTTGTAAGAAGTAAAAAACACGGTGTAGTCTTAATCTATATTGATCTTCTTCACAAGGGCCAGTATCATAAGAAATTTACTCACTCATCTCATCACAGACATTTGCATTCTCGTGTTTTCTGATTTTTCCCTGACCAACTTGTTTATTCAATTTTGGAACAATTCTTGATGAGTCGATCGATTGAGCAGCCACCTCCGCCTCCGCCGATTTCGCTATCTGAACATTCATTTCAGAGTTCCAACTCGTCGGTTTCTCCTTCTGTTTTTCGGTTTAGTTTTTCTTGATTGTTGTTTTTCTTTTTCTTGCGATCGCGACTACATACAATTGAAATTAAAACACACTCTTTTTTTCTGTCACAGTAGGAGTGTGTATTCTGGTAGCAGTTCTCACAGCTTCATGGACCCTGATGTGATCGAGGTTCCACCACCACCGCGAACTAATAAGCCGCACAAAGAGGTATGGTTCGTAGCTAATCTTTTATGTTTCTGTTACTGTTATATTTTAGGTTTACTTCTTAACTTTTGATTTTCATTTTTTTGTCTGACTGTCTTTTATATCCATGTTTATTGTTGGTACCAAAAGTAGTTTAAGTTCTTAAAAAAATATTGGTTCATTTGTTGGGAATTCAATTTAGGTTTATATATTTCTTTGGTACATTGGTTATAACCAATTTTACCAAGTTAGTTGAACCCACCTTTGAACTGCAATTTAGGACGTGTGTTCCGGTTTGCAGCGCGTCTTTAGTTCCTTTGGGAGTGCATATTGCAATGAAGTGTGAATAAACTATTCTTGGAGTAAGGGAGAAAGGGAAATAGCATGCCATTCAATTCAAAATTAAAGTTGAGTACTACTTTGCGATTAAAGAGGGAGCGAACAATGGAGGGAACTATGTTTAATGGAATAGAAAAAAATGAATGACAAAGGGTTAAGATTGAAGAAGAATACGGAAATTTGACAACACAATTCTGCAACACACGTAAAGAAGGTTATCAAGGGGGAAAGAATAGACGGAATTGCTTGTACAAATTGGTGGAGAGGTTGGGTGTTTTACCAGAATTTCTCCCATTGACTTTGTTTCTTATTAGATCAATCAAATGTCACTTTGTTATTTCCCCATTATACATACGAGGATTTTCATCCCCTGACCGATTGATCTGATTGTTTGTTGATGACATGTTATTTATCAGTAGTCAATGCCACTTTTATGTGAAGTGAATTGTATGCTGATGCTAACTTTGGTTATCAGGGTCAAGGAATTTGCATGGGTTGGTTGAATATTCACTTGAAAATTAGTTTCGATAGTTTTTCTGTTACACTACCTGTTTCCCTTGTGTAAATATATCCATTTGACTTGTTTCCGTGGCACTGCTTTTCTTCATACTTTTGACTAGGAGATATTCAAATTGACATTGATTGGATTATATCATTTGTGTCCTGTATGTACACATCTAAAACACACCTATGCTTTTAGTTCTAACTTGCCTCGCACTCTTGTTTTTCTAAGATTTAATGGTATCTCTATATCTGTTACTTTCGTGGATATCACAACAATATTTTTCTTCTGAAGGTCATTTTTCGGGACGTGATTGACATCGACAACGATGATGACTCAACAGATTTAGTGTTAATTGGTGAAAACATCGTTGAAAGTAATAAGGGGAAGACAACCGAATCTGTTCACAACGGTTATGGTGATCATCAAACTATGGTTTGTGAATAAGACTTCTTTCTTGTAGCTGATTAATATTATCGTCTCTAACATTAACAATGACTAAATTTTTCTTGAAACCTTTTTCAGGAAGACATTGATAATATATATTATCTTCCTGCGATTGACAAATCTGGACCAAGTAGTAGGGCAGAGTCTTCCAATGGTTATACTTCTGTATCAAATAACTTAATCAACATTGATGGGGATGAGTCTGACCACTCGTATGACGATGATGATGATGGCTTCTCTGATATTATTCCGGATGATTATATGGATGTAGATAATTATACTTTACTACAGGAGCATTTTGACAATGCAAACATACCTCCTGGTATTGAAGCACCTGTTCCTTGGTTGAAGGAATATGATCTAAGTTCTAAGAACGCTGAAAGTAGTTTATTCTATCCTAACTTTCATATTCCGCAATCTGATTCTAAAAAATCTCAAGTTAATGGCTTATTTCAGCCATCATGGTCATTTGAGCCTATTAAGCCTGAAACCCAAGGAACTGTAGTAGGTAGTTCTAGTGTGCAAAATCACTTACCTTCTCAATTATTTTCTCAAATTGACCCTATTAAGAAAATAATTGATGCCACACAGAGCAGGAGACGCAAGTTAAAGTTGGCATTAGGAGTGGAGTCATCTACATCTAGTTTGTCTTTGGGACCTTCTGGTAAAAAGAAGCCTTATTTTTTTGGTTCTTCAACTAACCATGGCTCTGTAGACAATTCAGGGGTCATGAAGCTGCCACATGGAGGTGGTTCACCTCATTGGAAACTACTTGAAAGTGCAAAGAAAGCAGCTGGAGCTGGAAGTATCAGTTCACATTATTCAAATTTCTATGGACCTGTAGATGGATCATTTCACTTTCCAGGAGCTGAATTTGTAAATCCTTGGTTGAATTCTTCTCATTTTAATCCATTTCCAAATTATACAGCTTATCCAGGTTTTTCCAATCCATTCGTTCCTCCTCATACCACACATGCGCAAATGTTCAATAACCCTTGGGTTCACAATACTGCAAGAGATGGAAATAATGGCACAACTGCTGATAGTACTGTTGTGACCATCTCTGATAAAGCCAGAGAGGAAATTCTTGAGAAATTTCAAAACTTTAAGCAATTTGACACTATTGACGATACTTCAGACCATTACTTTGTTCGCACCAATTCTTCCACGACACATGTAATTTTTTTTTTATATGTATTTTGTTCCAGTTTTAATCTTAACTATATTGTTTAACCATTAATTTGTTTCCTGTACAGCATTCAAAGAATTGGGTTAAAAGAGTTCAGGAAGAATGGAAGTTATTGGAGAAGGATTTACCAGGTAAAGTTGTTTTTTCAGTATTTCTGTCACGCATTGGTTGTAATATTTTCCTTATCATATCACTTTTTATATTTGTTTTTTTTAAAGCTGGAGGATCTTTATTGTGTGTTTGACTTCATTATTTTTAATATACCTCGGTGGTTTTTGTCAAACCCAAAGGTCATTAGTTTGGCTGCATTTGTTAAGTGTACATCCTTATAAAATAGTTATTGCCATTCTTTTGCTTGGTAGAGATAGATACTTGTTCTGAAGCTGAAGGTTCAAAAATCTGTAAAATTGTAAATTGTGTTTTTAATATCATAATAATAATGAGCAAACCTGTCGCTGAGTTTTTGTACAATCTCTAGCTGTTTCTTTGACATTTTCTTTCTTTTATTTCTTTTAGATTCAATATTTGTCAGAGTTTATGAATCAAGAATAGATCTGTTGAGGGCTGTGATTATTGGAGCAGAGGGAACTCCTTATCATGATGGCCTTTTCTTTTTTGACGTTTCCTTTCCAAGTGGCTTTCCCAATGTACCTCCGGTATGTTGTTGAGATTACTGCATCTGACTTGCAGTATTCTTATGTACACCATTTTTATTTAACCTTTAATTCAAAGTCTGACTCAAGGGACATTTTTCAATGCAGCAAGTCTACTATCACTCGGGTGGACTTCGGCTCAACCCAAATTTATATAATTGTGGCAAGGTGTGCCTTAGTCTACTTAACACCTGGTCTGGCAATAAGAATGAGAAGTGGCTCCCAGGCGTTTCAACAATTTTACAGGTCCTGGTCTCCATACAAGGTCTAATCTTAAATACACAGCCTTATTTTAATGAGCCTGGATATGCACGTTTGAGTGGTTCTGCCGAGGGTGAAACTAGATCCCTCCGGTATAATGAAGATACATTCCTCTTATCATTGAGGACAATGGTTTATCTGATAAGAAGGCCTCCAAAGGTTTGATTCTAGAAGCATCTCTTGATTCAACTCTTTATCTATTCTCATATAACATATTTTGTTTTAAATAGTTTTTTTTGTTAGTTGTCATGTTCACTCATTGCACCTCGGCAAAGTGATGCCTAGAAATTCTTCTGTTGTGCCTTTTGGTAAGCTTTGGAGAGTCAGAAGAGAATAATGATAGCCATTGTCTTTGATAATTTATAAAATAATTTAACATTATAGAACAATCACCTAAGCATAGGCAAATGATATCGAGATTTTTGATTCAGTCCCCTTCAAAATATATATACTTCTAGTGATATATAAGCTAGACATACTGGATCTACGTTATTCACAATTCACAGCAGTCTTTATTTAAGTATCTCTAAGCAATTATTTTAAGTATCTCTAAGCAGTTGTTTAATGTAGATAAATCATGTGGACAATGCTAGGCACCTGGTCTTTACTTTTAAACGTTTGTTTCAAGATTCAGCTACACAGCACTGCAAAATATTATATTCCTATTACATGGTATGGTACCGTATATCAACCCTATACAATAAATACATAGATCATTAAAGCAAAAGAGGACGAGTCCTTTTATTGACTCTAAGGAAAATGTTTACCAGGGTGTTTTCTTAACTAACACTCACAATGTACAATTCTAAACAAGCCTTGTTCCATTAAGTGGGATCAACTAGATGGATCAAATTACACCATAATGTTCTATCAAACACCTTGTTTCTATCCAATTCGTTAATTTTGAGATTTTTTAATAGTTTCTCTTATAATTTTTTTAGGTCTCTCTTTACCTTTAGTTGTTTGAAATGAATCCTTTCCATCTGATCTACTCCTTGCAACAAAATCTACAAGCCTTCTCTCTACATGTCCAAACCACTTAAGTTTATTTTCCACCATCTTTTCTATTGTAGATGTTTTCGTCTAGTCTTACCACACATCCAATGCAATATCCTCATCTCTACTACACTTATTTTATTCTTGTATTGGTTCTTAACCGTCCAACATTCAGTCTCGTAAAACATTGTAGGTCTTACCGCTGTCCGTTAAAAATTTTCTTTTAGCTTGAGTGATATCTTTGTGTCACATAAAATCCCTAAGGCCCTTCTCCATTTCAATCACCCAATTTGAATTGAATGATTTATATCTCCTTCTACATTTCTCCATCGTGTTGTATTATGAATCCATGATATTTAAATCGAGTGATTTGTGGTATGATATGGTCTTCAACTTTCACCTTTAGGTAAAAAACGCTTCTCCTTTTGCTAACCTTGATCTTTTTTTTAAGGCAAAAACATATATAATATATTAAAAATATATTAAAAATAAAAGAAAGACCGAATTCAAGATACAAATCAGATAGAAGGTACTAGAGGTACCAACAAATAAATATAGGTTTACTTTGTCTTACCTCAGCTAAAGCGAAATCCATATGTTTATGGCTCGTATCCAAGTCTCTAAACTCATTTAAATCAAACTTCGACTTTTTAAGTAGGACTATATCATCTGAAAAAAGCATGCATTTTGGTGTTAGCTCTTGGACGTGTTATTTGAGTACACTCAAAATTAAAGTAAAAACATAAGGGCTTAGAGTTTAACCTAGGTTTAATCCTATTGTTATGGAAAAATCGTCCATCGCTCCACCAAGTGTCGACACACTAGTCGATACCCCCTCCCCTCATATATATCTTGAATAGCTTGAAAATAGACTATCCTAACCCCTCTCTTCTCCAGGGCTTTCCACGAAATCTCCATAGGCACTCTAACATACGCTTTCTCCAAGTCAATGAAAATTAAGTGCAAATTTTGTTGATCCATCCGATACTGCTCTATCATACGTTGCAGTGAATGAATCACTTCTATGGTCGACCTCCCCGACATCAAATCAATTTGATCATAGCAATTTGAGTCTCTTTTCTTATTCTTCGTTCAATCACTCTTTCTCATAAATTCATGGTATGACTCGAATGATTAATCTTCCTATAATTTGCACAATTTTGTATACCCCCTTTGTTTTTATACATTGGAACTAACTTGCTTCTTCACCATTATTCCAACATTTGTTTTGACCTCATAATTTTGTTAAAAAGTTTGGTTAACCACTCAATGCCTCTATCTCCAGGAATTTTTCACCTTCATCTTTAACACACTTAACTTTATCTCATCCGTTATATCCTTTATATCCTTTTTCTAAATCAAAACTTTACCTTCTTTATCTTTAGCACACTTCATTTGATCTAAAGATTGGTATCACCTATCAAAATCTTGGGGTTCTTGCTTCATTCGGTATCTTTTTGGTCTCATTTTAAACTTTCTTATACTTTTTTCAAGTTTCACTATTTTTATACGTAGACCTTTCTTTTAAACATTTTCTTTTGACTCTAACTTTACTCTGAGCATCTCCGTTCCACCACTACGATTCTTTACCTCTAGGTTTAGAACCTCTTGATTCTTCTAATGCCTCTTTAGCTATTCTCCTAGTTTCTTGTACCATCTTTTTTTGATCAAATTTCTTGTACCATCTTGTTTTACATGTCATTTGCACTTGTGGCTATCAAACACTTCCCTCCAAGTTATAAATGATTTGAAAATACTAAGCCCCAACTTTTTAAGGTTGGGAAAGATCCAAATGATCCAAATTAGTGTATATAGTAAGAGGAAAATTTGTGGAAGGGCATACCATGGATTTCTATAAAGATATTATAGAGGCCATTAAATTTGCATCCTATTACATTCATCGTCTCAAAGTTCGATCCTGCGACATAACATTTCTGTTAGTAAAATAAATAAGACATTCATGATAACAATTCAATCGAAAACTACCAGAGGTAAATAATAAAATATATAGAGAGAAGGACAAAATCAACAACCTATGGTCCTGAGGAAGGTGACCTGAGAGATGCTGAATAATGAACCACCTGTGTGCACAATCGATACAGTGGATTGAGGGTTTTCATAGTTCTCTTGCCTAAGAGCCCTAAGGAGTATATGTGGTCGAGTGTCTTATTTAGATGGCGTGGAGGGAGGCCATCCAATTTTCATCGAAGATTATGTCTTAGACAATGATCATAGTGCTCACATTTGGGATGAGGATTGAAGGTGGATTGTTCTTCCCGAGTAAGAGCAGCATTGTCACTGAGAGTAAAGACAACAAAGATCTCAGTAGGGGGTTTACTAAGTGGTTTAGCTGGAATCCCAAGAAGGATAACACATGTCTTATATATATCTGGACAATAGCCGACCCCATAATCTGATAACCAGAGGTAAAATTCCCTTAGGCAAACTATAAAGGGTAAAGAGCGTGCAGAAGGTGCTGCTTTGCTCAAGACCTTTGTTCTATTTAACTGTGGCACTTACTGTAGGAGATAGTTGAAATTCTAGTAACAGATAGTCAATGTTATGTCGGATGTTATGACATCCGCTATTGAACAGATTATCGAGCTAAGCAGTAAACACTTAAAGAAAGCAGTAAATAACACCGGGAATTGTTTACCCAGTTCGGTGCAAATCAAACCTACTCTGGGGGCTACCAAGCCAGGGAGGAAATCCACTATAAGTAGTGTTAATTCAGAGCCAAACTACCAGTTTGCACTCCTCACTTAAGACCTACTCAATGCAATTTCCATCTAACTCTAGACTTGAGTTCCTACTCCCTCCCCCTCAATCATAGCAGTGATATCAATCAATTAAGTTACAGATTTAAAAAGAAGACACACTTCAAACAAATCTTGATCTTGCTTCACAGTTTCAATCAAGAGACACAACACTCGTGCTTAAAAGCTTAGAGTGACACAATCAACATACAACTCAAAATCACACTAGTCCAATACAATCATCTAAGGGATGATTGCTTGACTCACAAGTAATCCTAAGACACAAAAACACACGTGAAAATTAAATTACACAAACAAAATTCTTCACTCAAAATCTCTCAGTCTCCAGTCAGGATTGTCACTCTTCTATTTATATGCAGCACACGGGCCTTGGACCTAAGTTGCACAAACTAGGTTTAACCAAGTTAAACCACTTTCCATATTTCAAGGTGATATCAAATAGGTCATAGGCATTTCATGTTATGCTCAGCACTGCCTAGAGTCTCGCCTGAGATAACTAAGGAACCCTAGCAGGTTTCCTGAAATCTAGCCTGAGATAACTCAGGAACCATAACAGAAAAACAAACACGCGCCCTTGCTGGCAGCTACCTGATGTCATAACATTCAGTATGACGTCCAATACACTCTGTTCTAACTAACCAAACTTACCCAGCAGTACACTACACAAGTATGTCATGACATTAGTCAAGACATCTACACACATCAATGTTTTACCATAAAATGCAGCCAATTAAGAACATCTACAAACTCTCCCTTTGGCAAATTTTTTGGCTAAAACAATCTGTCACCATATCAGAGTACACACGCAGCAGGAAAAACTAACACACAGCCAATCATGCAAAGTAGCTAATATCCTACCAATCAACTAGACCTGCTGTACTTCCATCGCACACACTCATACACAATGTTCTGGATTATGAATGTCAAGACATCTAGGTTGACATCCTCAAAAGCACCTGTTCCACAGCACAAACACCATCTGCTAATTTTGACTACAGATGTCACAACATTTAGTGGAACATCCTGTGATACTCCCCCTTAACTGATGCACAATACACCATGACACATCAGCCAAACACAACCTACCAACAACCTGCAGAAACACAACCTACAGAACCACACACATCCACACAATAACTAAGATACTCCTAAGTTTCAACCATGAAAACAAACACACTCAACATTAACAGCAATAACAAAACACACCGGAGCAACACTTGCTCACAACACATGACACAACACCAGCACATCAGCACACCTGCGAATCAACTCAGACAGCAGCATATCATCTTCCACCTGTGAGGGACATACAACTAACTGATGCTGTTCAACTACTTCTCCCCCTTTTTAGCCACAAATTTAGATAATAACTAATGAATTAACATT